ACGAACCCAAAATAGATCTCTATGAGTCCTTTTGAGTTCTGACCTCAATGTTAATTGATTCTAAACCAACAAACTGTTTTGGCATTTTTAACGCGCTTTGTTTAAATGTCGAACCTTGCATAAATTATGAGGCCACCTTAGAAATTTGTTCTATCTTGTCGATTTGGCTTGGATCCTTTAGTATAAAACTGGCTAACTGGATAGCTGTTATCGATTTTGGTGTCCAAGAGAACTAGAATATCTGTTCAAACTGTTCATCAGCATGTTCTTAACCTCGAAGAGCTTGATTCCGCCGATGCTGTTTGTTTCTTTCTGGTAGGAAGAAGCGAGATAAACAAGCTCGAAAGTTCTAAAACTTCGCTGATCATGCGTCTCGAAATTGGTACCTTTCTGTTTTTTTTCTTTTTTTTAACTTTTTTCTTCTTTTCCAACCAAGGTAATCATTCTTGAAGCTCTTTTCATTGGAGAGATTCCCAATCACCACAACAAAGTAAAAAGTGTAATAATCAACTATTTGCAAAGTTCTACACTGAATCAATTTCCCTCTCTAGTATTGAATTAAATAATTCTGGATAGGTCAGACTTGATTGCGAGTACTTCAAAATAAACGTCAACATTTTGTTTATCGCAGATGAGATCGTCTGTCGCAAGGTTGTTCCAACTCAAGCTACAGCCACAGAAATATCCAAAGATAATTCATCGCCAAAGCCTTTCGTTTATCTCACTCAAATCAATCAGAATATGCCTTCCTTCAAACTTTGCCTCTTCTTCCGAGATCGGCGACCCCGAGACATGTAATTGTGATGTCATAGTGCTAAGCTTTCGTACCAGATGTCAAGTGCAAAAGTCGCCTCACATCACTTATCTGTTCTATCCCAATACTGGATGGGGAACGGGACGAAATGTGTTGTATTTTGCTGCAGTAATGAGATCTCCAAAATACCGATATTACATTTTTATGAATGATGATGTGGTACTGCATTTCCATTCATTTGCTCCTCCACAAATGAAGAGACTTCCGCCGTTTAGAGTCCTCGAGCACTGACTCTTAGATTACGAGCCTGTAGTTGGCGTTGTGAATTACAAATGGCATCATCTGGGCATCTGGACCAATGACTTACGAAAGAAAATATGTAACAAGACGGACAGTCCCATTGTGATACCTATAATATGGTTTGATGCTCTTTTCAATGCATTTCATCACAAATCTATCGAGCATCTCTTCCCTTACCGTACGCAGTATGAAAGCACAAGCTGGTGGACGGATATTTCCAGGTCACGCATTGATGTTTGTGCCTGTTACTGCGGGAAAATCCAAAATATCGCCCATACCCAAGGTCTTTAGAGAACGAAAACACAAGGTGGAGAGATGATATCGAAACCGTTCGACAGGAAGCTCCTTTAATTTACAGAAATCGGACTTTATTCAAAGACTTTCTTTGTGAATCTCCCAGTGTGATTACCGTTTTGCTGTGCAAACTGGTGCTTCCATCGACTGGCGATGTGTCACCTGTCTGTGAGTACGCCTGTCGCTGAGAGTACACCTGTTGACTTCACCGAGTCTATGTCCACCCTCTACGAGACACTTGCCGATCCTGCTGTTGATGAATCATCTATCCTTGATACACTACCCGCAGCCGTAGAGAACGAATCTTCCTTTGCTATCACCTTCCAAATCCTGGAAGACTCCACGACGAAAGGCAGACCGAAGCTGATAGACAGCAGGGGCTACTGCTACAACACCAAACGCCGCAGAGCAAATGCCATGGACTGGCAATGCACATTCAGGCCTAACTACCTTTAAGTTATCTTAGTTGTCTATTTATCATAATTGTTCCTAATTATCTATTTTACTAATTTAATAATTCTCTTTTCAAAGGTCAACCCATGCAGAGCAGCAGTGATAGAACGTAGCGACGGTAGTTTTCAGTTGTCAGCCAACACCCACAACCACCCAGCAGACCCTAGAGCAGCAGTATGTGCCGCCATAAAAGCAACAGTTAAGGCCAAAGCCGCAGCAGATATATTCAGACCGAGCTGCCAACAGGAAGCGCCAGCAGCTATGACCAAAAGACCCGCTAGATCTAGACTTCGAGTTAGAGGAAAGCCACATCCCTAACGGTTTCTTCCGCTCAGACGTTAAAGTGCGTGGTCGTCGCCACTTGATATTCGCCACTGACCAGCAGCTCCAGTTCCTTACCCGAGCAAAGAGCCGGTACACTGACGGCATCTTCAAGTTGTGCAGACAACCATTCACCCAGCTCCTGGCCATCAATGCGTACGTAAAACACAAAGATCACGCCAAACAAGTGCCACTTTCCGATGAGTTGAGTGGAAGGCCACATTATTCACAGCAGGCAAGTTTTACGGCGCCGTCATCCCAAGTAATCTTCATTTTCTTGTGAATTCGGCTGTTGTTCATCCATAAAACGCACGCCTTGAGCAGTTTGTTTTTTAACTGTCTTGTGAAAAACCTTGCGAGTTATCATGAGCCCCGATTCGGCCGGATTTCACTAAAATTTTCACTTTCAGATTCTATTTTAGAGACAACAAAAAACTTCAGGCAAACGTGTTAAATTCGACCATCCGAACTATTTCAGTTTGCAAACTATTGCAGATTGCGAACTTTGATGGTTTGTGAACTTTAATGGTTCAACATTTTGACAGCTTTAGTCTACGACCAATCAGATTATTTGAACCATTCTCACAGGGATTCTGATTGCCTCATTGTCGAGTTGGCTTTGAAAATATATTTCGTTTTGTTTATTGAAAGTAATGCAAGGGAAATTTAACGGATTCTTTAATGATTATAAAACAAATAGAGAAGCCTCGAGTGTGCTCTGTTCAGTTGTGAAGAACTTAGGAAGCGGCTAGAGCACTCAAAAAGTGGGTAGAAACAAACGACCGCTTCTTGGGTGCTTTTCAACAAAACAGGGCACAGTCGAGGATTTTCTATGAGACCTTTCTTTCGCTTTCCAAAGCTGGAAAAAACTTCCAAATTCTTTCTTTGTTCCTTTGAAGGTTTACGAGTGAAAAAAAAGGTTTTTCGATCGGGGTATATAAAAAACAGAGCGTTTCTAAATCAAAATCTGGATGTTGCAATTGTAACTATGGTGATCACTCTATCATTGTATTTTTCTTTCATGATATCACAAAGTAAGGTCTGTTTTTCTAGCATTGACCAGTCAAACCTTTTATTTTGTTTTCGCCTACATTTGCATTTCTATTAACTGAACTTTAATCTTCTAGGAAAGTTTTATACAAGGAAAATGTTTAAGCGCCTTGCAACATTAAACAGGGTACTTGAAATACTCTTACCTCGTGCTGTTATCACTTTTAATTGAAATTAATCTTTACTTTGCTTAAAACCTTTAGTATAAGAGTTACAGATACAACCACCATTCAAATTTTCACTTTCAAACCATTTTCGGAGTTAAATGAACATAAGAGAGTTTTCGCTTTAGTTTTATAACCAACTGCTTTTGTCATTCATGGCATTTTTACTCGGGCTACGCAGGTAGGCCTAGTCTAGGTTTCGGTTTCCTATCTATCTATCTATCTATCTATCTATCTATCTATCTATCTATCTATCTATCTATCTATCGACGACATCGAAAGTGTGTGAGCTTGCGTTGCTTGACGGTCTGCGGTATTCCTCTACAAGCGTGAAAGCTAGGGAACCGTGAAAACGAGGCGGCTGACGAGGAAACATATGACTTGATTTGCTCTTCGTAGGTATCTTTGCACTCTGCTTCTCGTGGTGCGAAGCTTAATTGAAAATCATAAAGAATTGCTTTCCTTCTGGAATACTGAAAGTACTTATAAATGCAAACATTATTCGCGGTAGACCCGCACTCAATTAATGAGGTGTAATATATCATCTTACCTTTACATTACCTTCAAGGTTTCACTTTCAAACTAGGGAAACCTATAACTTGATCGGCTTCATTTTTCTCATGTTTCCTTAGTGCTTGCTGCTAGCAGTCCTGTCATACCATTCCATGTGACTTTATGTTTAGACAGATTTTGCAGGAGAGCGGAGAAACTGTGGACCAGTTTGTGTGTAGATTACGTCAGCAAGCAGCGACTCGTGAGTTTGGCGTTAATGAGGACGACTACATCCGCTATCAACTCATGGACAAGTGTTATTCCAGCCATTTGCGCCCGAAGTTCCTGGAAAAGGAAGGGACAGTTACCTTGGATGATTTGTTACGGGTTGCGAGATCTCAAGAAGCATTTGATCGACAACTGGAGCAATACGTATGTACGATACGGACCAGGAAGATCAGGTCAGTGCAGTGAATGGAAAAGTGGATGGGAACAGAATTCCTGGGAAGTTAAAGACTTGCTTTAGTTGCGGACAGGAAGGACACTTTAGTCAGGATAAGAGGTGCTCGGCGCGAGGTCAGGCTTGCAGGAAGTGCGGTACGACAGGCCATTTGAAAGTTAAATGCCCTCAACTCTATCAGCGAGGTGGTGCTCAGTCAAGATTCAGAGGAACAAGGATTAGCAGAGGTGGACACGGTCGGGGTTGCAGAGGTGCTGATGGATTTGGTCGAGGTGGACGTGAACGCGGAGGACTAGGGCGAGAGGCAAACCTGGTGACTGGAGGACCTGGCCTTGGAGAAGAAGACAACGGAGATTTTGCAACACCGGGTCATCAGCTAAGACCCGATTATGCCTTTTCAGTGGAGCAGTTGGTTGATCGCAAGGAACAAATAGGTGCGCTGGTAACGCTGGTCATCGGTGGTGTGGACTTACTTGTTGTTCTTATTGATTCAGGAGCCTCGTGCAATGTTATGGGACAGCGAACCTAGGAATTACTAAAGCAGAAGGGGATCAGGTGCGAATCTCGCAAGTCTGCAAGAGAACTTTTTGTTTATGGTGGTGTAGAACCTTTACCGACCATAGGAACCTTCACGGTGGATGTCGCGCAAGCTGGGTTTAAAGATGGAAACAAGGCTGACTTCGTACTGGTTGAAGGCGATGGTCGTACGCTGATGGGTCGCGAAACTGCCGAGACGCTAAACCTGCTGCGTGTTGGTCCTTTTCAGACAAACAGCGTTGACAGTGGACGACCGGACAGTGTTGTTAGAGAGAAATACAAGCACTTGTTCAGTGGTGTTGGTCTTTTAAAGGGTTACGAATAAAAACTGCATGTTGATTAGTCGGTGAAGCCTGAGGCGCAACAAGAACGCGGAATTCCTTTCGGGTTGCGAGAGAAGGTGGATGCAAAGCTTGATGAACTTTTGAAAATCGACATTATAGAGGAAGTGCCGGGAGGGCCGTCGGGATGGATTTCGCCGTTGGTGGTTGTTTCCAAAGGTGACGGTGACGTAAGGGTCTGTGTTGAATGAGCACTGGAAATCAACACCGTTGTGGCCTCAGGCCAAATGAGAAGTGGAGCGACAAAATCGCTCATCGCTGAAGTTTCTACAGATTACACGTTTGGAGGAAAAGAACTGGAGAACTGAGTTGCATGTATGGTTGATGGCGCACAGATCAACTCCGCAAACGACGACAGGGACTACACCCTGTTATATGATGTTTGGCCGTGAAGTGAGATCCAAACTGCCAGAGCTAAAAAGAGAAACAGTTGGTGTGCCAAGCGAAGAAGTGCGACAGCGTTATTGGACAGGTAAATTCAAGGGAAAAGCTTATGCAGATCTCAAGAGAGGTGCCACGCCCAAGAGAATAAGCGTTGGCGACACGGTTCTTTTGGAAGCAGAGAAAACTAACAAGTCTACCAATTTCAACCCTGATCCCTTTGAGTTTGTTCATGAGACAGGGTCAGAGGTAACGCTTAGGAACGGGGCTGGTGTTGAACTGAAAAGGAACACTGTGTTTATAAAGAGGTACAATGTGCGCAAAGATGTAACTAATGGCGACGAAGACCAAGTGGTACAGGCAGGTTCTGCGGTACTGGTGGATTAGCCAGGGGCAAGCAAAATTCCAGAGACGATGCCAAAAGAAGTTCCAGGAACGTCGAAGTATCTGAAAATTCTCAAGTACAATCTAGGCATAAGGAAAATACCGCACCGGGAAGGCCTGTTCGGAAGTCGACCCAGACTGTATGACCGCCTGATCGTTTAAGACTTTGAACTGGATGTCTCGAACTTCTTTTCCTTTTACCGAGTGACTAGCTTAATTCAAAGATTTTGATTTGTATGTTAAACAATTTAGGAAAGGAGGGAATGTAGTGTGTATTGATGCCCACGTGTGGAAATGAATGTAAGTGATGTAATACACTCGGGACCTTGCATTTGAATTTGCATGTATATATAAAGCATGTATTTAATTTATTCTGAGAGTTCTTTTCGGTTAAGGGTAAGTGTGTAACGGATGTGAATAAACTGTTTTAACTTAACCGCGGTGTACTAAATTGGTGATGGGACAAATCTTTGATGCAGGCTCAAAATACTCATAGAAATACCTCAATTGTAGTTTTAGTTTAGATCGTTGTTATGTATGTCACCGTTCAAACTTTTCACCCCATCTCAAGCACCTACCTGTACCTGCGGAAAACGCTGGGTATCTAATCATAAGCATGCAAGGGATGCCAAAAAAACACCCTACATCGGAAGCATTGAATGTGATCTTACAAGAAAACGACCCTTTTAACTTACCATTATTCGAAGCGCTTTATATCCGAAGGTGAAAGCCAGAACTTTTAAGACTACCGGGAAGAATGTATTGAACTATGAGACCTTTTATTCTAAACTAGACTACTTAGATCTTTAGTTCTCGCTAAAACTCATCCACATTTTTCTATGTTATAGTGTGTTACCATTGCTGTTAAGACATTTATGTGACTCTTAAACTCAATGATCAGTAGCAACTGTCTTTAATGACCAGAGAAGGGAACAAGTAACGTGACAAGTAACGCAAGAATCATATATCCTAACATCTCCCTTCTTTTGGAGTGAGCTTACTTCGAAAACAAAACATATAAACATAACCGGTAGTCAGAGTCTCTAAAATTAATGCTTAGAGTTCTTTTGATGTCCAAGATGTCCCATGTAGTAAAATCCAGTTCTGACAATAAAATGCCCCATAGAAATCGAGAATTTCTGAAGCAGGCTGAACTACCCAAGCCAGTTAAAGGCAGTGACGGCCAGTCTTTAAAAGAATGAAAGCCAAGGTTGAAAGCAGGATTTTAAGTCAGCTAATCCTGAACCGAAGCAAATATCGATATCACAGTCTATTCCAGTAAAGAAAACTCGAACAAGAGTTGTAAAGCCACCTTCGAGGTATAATGACTCTGTTGTGTAGTTGGCCGTGTCAAAATTGACTTCCGCTCGATAGAACTCTGGGCATTTAATACGGCAGACAGCTCACTTGACCAAAATTGTAATCAATGAAATTATAGACAATCACTTTCACAAAACAATAAACAATTAAACTCAAAGGCAATATAAATTATACTACAAACCTCGCACACACATGGTAAATTAGTTAGTAGTAACTTATTGATAACCTCTATTGGCCTTCTCCTCGTCTTTTAATGGTAGCGTTCCTCACTGAACCGAGCAAGCTATGCGAAGCGCTTGTTTTCTTGCTACAAAGCAGCAGCCTTTTGTGAAGCTCGCATTATGGTTATGAATTTAAGGCCAGGTTATTTCGATGTTTTCACCATGGTTCACCCATTGGCATCTCAAAATGCGGTTGGTTACGATAGTTTAATGCACAATTGTTATTGATCAAGACGTAGACCTCTTACTGACCTCTTCTTCTGTTCGTTAAGGGCCGAGCTTTTTCCTCTTGGATGGCCCACAACGAGGTTCCATAACTTATTAAAAATACAGATCGAGAAAAACAGGTTACTGAATCTCTGGGCTCAAACAGAAAGCGATGATTTCGGTTCGAATAAAAATTTTTATTTAGAGGTCTGAACAGTTTAATAAGGCCCGTTAAACTCCTCAATCATAGCGAAAGTACTAGCACACAGATATCATAAATAAAAATAAGGATCAGGAAATACTTCCTGGGTAAATAAACTGAGTGCGACCAACAAGTAAAAAATGGTTTGATTCCCAATGTGATAGCAGTTATGTCAAACTTCTCCTCACGGACATCACTTTGTTGAAACATTTTTACAGTTCGACAAGTTTATAAACAAACAAAGCAGCTTATAATTTGAATGGGTCTAGCATTTCATCCACGGATTGGGCCTAGAATAAGAAAGAATAGGAAAAATCGTTGAACTATAGTTCACCCCTTCACTAAACTGTGAAGCGCAACTGAATATATCCATATAGAGGTCTGCTTTATATAAATGTAATTATCATTATTAACTTCATCAACTACATCTCTGTCTGAAAATCAAAATGAGCGTATGGTTTAATGTGTTGATGCCGTGTCGCATTCATTCAATACGTTGTCGAGTTGATAACGTAACCCTCAAGATTCTGCCTAAAATCTTGGCATAAAGTCCGTTTTCTGTTAATTAAAGGGGCCTCCTGTCGAATCGTATTGATGTTATCTCTAGATCTTGTGTTTTCGTTCTTTAAAGACCTTGGGTATGGGCGATGTTTTGGATTTCCCGCAATAACAGGTACAAACATCAAGGCCTGACCTCAAAATATTAGTTCCACAGCAGAAAACATGAAGATTTGCCATGACCACCGGCTTTTTCTTTCATACCCGGTAAGGTAAGGGAAGAGATGCCCAACAGATTTGTAATGAAATGCATTGAAATAAGCATCATACCATATTGTTGGTATGACAAGGGGACTGTCTGTCGTGTTACATATTTTCTTTCGTCTGTCACTAGTTCAGTTGGCTCCACAACGTCAATTACGGGCTTGTAATCTAGGAGTCATTGTTCGAAGACTCTAAACGGCGGAAGCTTCTTCATTTGTGGCGAAGCAAATGAATGGAAATGTAGCACCATACCATCATCCATTAAAATGTAATAATGGTATTTTGGAGATCTTATTATGGCAGCAAAATACAGCACATTTCGTCCCGTTCCCTAGGCGACTTTTGCACTTGACATTTGTTACGAAAGCTTAGCACTATGACATTACAGTTACACGTCTCGGGGTCGCCGATCTCGGAATAAGAGGCAAAGCTTGAAGGAAGGCATTGTTCCATTTGAATGAGATAAACGAAAGGCTTTGAAAATGAATAATTTGTTGGTTTTTTCTGTGGCTGTAGCTTGAGCTGGAAAAACCTTTCGAAAGGCGATTTCATCTATGATAAAAAAAATTTTGAAGTTTATTTTGAAGTACTCGCAATTAAGTTTGACCTATGAGGAGAAGCTTTAAGAAATTTGATTCTGTACGATACAACGAAGATGTTCTCTTTTTTCCTTTCCCTGTTGCAAGCACCTTTAAAGACATCAATGATGTGCATTGAGCATGAGAAAAACTGCTGAAGAGACGTGCTTGATGATCATGCTTCCTTGGTAGAGAAGAAAACTACGAAATCCCTTCAACCGCTCTACTTTAACTCTGAAGTGATAGCCGCTATTCACTTTTGAAATCAATTCAAGTGAAAATATTATGTCACAGAAAATCAAAGTGATTGGGAAAAGTATCGACAACAGAGAAATCGCGTTGTTAGCCTGAGAAGATAAAGGGATACTTCGCCAAGCAATGTCCGAGACTATTCATTTAACTGAAGGCGAAACCATTATTCAAAAACAATACAAGATTGCAGATATCCTAACTAAGCACTCACTTAGGATAAACGCACCGGCTGTGAACGACCTGAATGATCACGTTAGTAATCCTTTCATCAAAGAGAATATCTCTCCTAATGAATTTTTCAACTTCAGTTAAGTAGGTGAAACTAAAGCTTATGACGGAATTACTTAAGTCACTCAACATCAGGAAAGTTTTTAGTCTCTTGGAGACCAAAATCGATGACAGCTATCCAGATAGCCTGTTTTATGTTATGTTTGCGATAAAAATAAAAAAAAGTATGAACTTTACCTCTCGTTGTAAAGATAATTTTGGTTCTGTTTAAAGTCACCCTGTCATGAACGTTTAAGCTTGCGGATAATAAAGATATCGACTCATATGCTACAAAATATTAGTTCATCGCAAAGAGAAGGACGAAATCTCATAAAAATCGCGATTTTGAGACGCCATTATTGCATTGTAATGGTGGCTAGTGGAAGGGAAATATATCGTAGTATTGGGAAGAGTCACATGGCGATGAAGCTCAATGCGACGATATATTTTCTGCCAACTAGCTAGCCGCCAATGTAATGCGGTATTGGCGTCTCAAAATTCCGACCGGTTTTATATCGCGATCCATCCATTACAAAAATTATGCTACAAGCTGAGAAATTTCTGAAAAGTAACTGTCTTAGATCAAAAGCATTTTTAACCAAATTTGAAAAACAGTCGCATTTGTTTTAAGCGACACCGCATTAAGCGGTAACTCTATATTAAGCGGTGGGTCACCAAAGTCTCAAAGTATTTCCCCTTTATCACTGTAATTCTTACCCCTATTAAATGGTACCTAGTCCCAGGGGCCGATTTGTATTGTATTTCACTTGTATTAAACGATCACTGAAAGCTGAACCACTAAAATAAAACTAAGGATAATCTTTCAAGTAATTTTTGATTCATATTTCTCCTCCAAAAACAAAGTAGTTTTTTTGAGCGAGATTCTGTATAGTAAGTAGTCACTTAGGGCATAAAGTGGCGTTTTGTATCGTTTTCTATAATACTGCTAATGTGAGGAACCTGTATTTAACGGTCAACCGGTATCAAGTGGACACCCTGTGATTTCTCTTGTGTGACTGCGGTAACCGAATTATATTGAAAGAAGGAAGGAGAGATTTCGCGATTGTGACGCGAAAGAAGTGTGACAACTGATGGAAAACGCAGGAAATTCAAACACTAAGAAAAGCAAGAAACTCTGTCCTATACTTTCGACAACCTGGCCTGATGAAAGAGGATTCAATCCGAATATTTTGCGCTACTAGGCTAAGGCGAACTTGATTTCGAGCTTTTTTTCCCGAGTTTTTCCAAGACAGACGTTTGAGACTATGAGCCATCTTTGGAACTCTCAATGGTGGCCAACTTACGTTATCAACTCAGTTGATTATACAAGATTACCTGATTGAAAGTTTGATCCAGATCGTCTTTTCAAATGAAGAAGGAAAAAAGACGAGGCCGAGGATGGAAGTCATCGCTAAAACAAGCGCTAGTTCACAAAAGATTTCATTTCAAAATACAATATTTCAACTCCATTTCAGAGTGATGATCATGTAAAGTCACAAGGATGTCAAAGTAGCAGGAATTGTATCCAGAATAATTAGCGTAGCAGAGAGTGAATATAACAAACAATTAACGTTGTGCATATCATTCTGTGGCAAGGTAAGCCGCGGGTGTGTAACAAAATGTTTCAAATGTTGAATTCATTAACCAGCTTTTTCTTCTAATCCTACTTTCAAAGCCATGCGCTTATTCACCAAAGGTCGGCTTACACGAGAGGACCAACTGCATGGACTTGTTTCAGAAAAAAGTTCCTAAAAATAGCCAAATACATGACGTTTTCACTGAAATCCTGGGACACGTTGATGCGGAAAAGGAGCTTTTCTAGCTCTGAAAGCGGATTACTAAACTAAACGAAAAACACTGAAGTTCACGTTCTCCTTAATAAAACTGGATTTCGTCAATTTATAAAAAAGGTCAGTCATTTACAATTTCGAAAGTGTTGTCTTTCCCTAGGGTTCGGTATACTACTGATCCAGAACTGAAAGAGAGAAGCTAGTAAACCTAGGGGCCTTTAGTTCAAACAAATTGGAGATTTATTCTTCAGGCCATTTCGACTAAAATTAAAATTGAATTAGAATTGATAGCGGGGGTATAGATTGGATTATGTCTTAAAATAAGTTATGGTTACCCATCGTTGTAAATAACGATTCAAAAGAGAAATACATGGAGTATAATAAATGGCACGCGTAGATATGGAATTTCTTTTCGAGTGTTATACTCGATAGCTCACGATTGAGATTTCGAGTTGAACACGAGAAGAGAAATTCCATATCTGCAAGCAGCCTTGTATTATTTTGTTCATCTTATAAACACAGTAGCCCTTAGCTGACGAGAAAAGTCGACTTTATGAACGAATGAAAATAAAAGGATCGACAATCCCCGAATAAAAAGCGTAAAGTGCGTTGGCGATTAAGCTCAATATGGAAAAAAAAGCTGTGAATCACTACAAAACAACAATGGGCGTCATTTTCAATATAAAAAATTGTCAGTTATTGACTTTTACATTACCTCAGCAAATCTTTCAGCTACATTGCTAAAATTGGCCCGTGGAAAATCTTCCAGTTGTCGATTTTCGTTGTCAGCTGCGAGAAATGCTATTACCAAAGCCATTGAATGCGTAACTTTCGGTTTTTCTTTTCGTATTTTGGTTTTCTTTCCATTCTAGGAAAGTTTGAACGTCAGTGTCTGAAAACCATACGGATTTTTCAGTAATTTACCAATCATAATACGAGAAAATTCCGACCAACAACCATGAATTGAAAATGGTGAAGGCTTTGCCGTTCATTCATCAACCTGACCGAGTGGCGCGAAAGGCGGGTGACGTGTCAGCTGCTGATTAGCGATATCAAACAAAGTGAAAAAATATCGTATTTTTTCTCGTGTGTTGTTACGGCTTCTCTCAGGGCTAATAATCCTTGTACAACATCGTAGTTTACATGATAAAATCGTTTCTCTCACGATGTGGTCACTTCGGATATGTATCGCGACATTTCGGCTGATTATTATACCGCCAATCTAACTCGCTTGGTGAAGACTAGCAGTATGCAGTCTGATTGTAATTCAAAGCGATCACGAGCAATTAGCGTAATTTCAAGTCATTAAGAACGGGTTTATATTTCGAAATAAAAAAACCTCTCTTTGTTCTTTCTAATGACCTCGGAGGGGCTGAGAATCTTGTACAATAGCCATTATTATTGTAATTACAACTAGATCAGTGACGTAACAAGTCAATAAACACACTTTGCTATGCCTGAAGAGCCGCAACAGCGGTGAAACGCGTAGCGCAAAAGCAAACTAAAAGTTAAAAGAAGACTTTCGTTTTTCATTGATTTTAGTATATATATATGTAAATAAATCTTGAGTATAGTCTATCCTTCGGTACATTGCTCGATGCGTTCGCAGAGCGGGGTATATCTGAAAGTTGGACAAATCAATAAGACATAACTGCCGTGACTCTGAGTTTCACGCTTACGCGATCATCCGACAGATTTTAATCTAATAATAAGATTTTAATCCGTATAATAAGTTTGTGGAAATTTTAAAGATGTGATACAATTTTTTCTTCTTAATCATTAAAATCACGTTTTATTTTATAAAATCAACTTCACCTCTCTCTCTCTCTCTCTCTCTCTTACGCTGCTCAAGTCTCACGCTGTTCTAGTCTCACGCTCCGGTCTCTTCATTTTAAATGTATTATATGATCCTATTGTTAAATCATCTGCCACTTATCGCAAAAAGTCAACCGAAAATCAATTAACGATGAATAATCTCTGACATCTATGAAAATATACTTAACTTATCTATGTATATATATAGTACAGCTTAGAGGTACATGGCCAACGCACACGCAAAACCTCTGCACGCTTTTTGCAAAAAAAAAAAAGCTCCCTCAAAGCGCGTGTCTTAAGCACGTTTTTGCTTTTGTCATTCAACGCAGTCAGCTTGCCTTGTTCCGAGGTAATTTAGTTTTATCAACTGAGTTGATAACGTGAATTTGCCACCATAAAAAGTTTAAAAGCTGAGGTTTTGAGCGTCAGCCCCTCGTCAATCGCTCTGAGGAAGGGCTAAGGCTTGAAACGTCAACTTTTAAACTCTTTACAGCGGCCAATTTACGTTATCAACTCAGTTGATAATACAAAATTGCCCTGTTATACTCTCCTACTGACGCAGCATCGCAGTTTCTTTAGTCACTTACCCCTTTTATTGCTTTGTTCTGCATTGTTTCGGAAAACATAAGTTTCCTGTTTCGAAATGCCGCCGCCGAATCGAAGCATCAAATTAACATTTGCATAGACACAATGGCTGCCGTTTCAATAAAACGTCGTAACGACTTGTCATGATTCCACCAGCATTTCGTGAAATAAGTTTGTGAAAGTTTTTAAGATATGATACAGTTTTTTCTTCTAAGGGAGGTAAGATTCCAGCCTGAAATCGAGACAACTTTGTCTTAGGAATTTGAAAATACTGTAAAGGATACAACTCGAGCGAGAAGTTGGCTTATTCGACTGCTACCCTTGCATCTTGTTTACTTACTTTCGGCGCTAAAATATTTTCCAGTTTTCGTTAAAGTAATATAATTGTTTCCTATAATTAATATCACGTTTGAGTGTACTCGGCTTCGCGTGACTTGTAATTAAAGATCTTATCTCCCGATCAATAGTTGTTTAGGAATCATCTCTTATGCCTGGTTATAGAATACATTTTAATGTCTTTGAAGTCGACTGAATCGCAACCAAAGCTAAATTATGATCCCGCCGATACCCGTCCTATAACCTCGAAAATTAAATCTTACGGTCGTGAGCACGGTTTAAAAAGTCAGCGATTTGAAGCTTAAAAAGTAAGGTTGAAACTCCAAGAAGTAGTTTCACATCACATTTTAAAATCGCGACTCCATAAAAATTCCCACGCGACATTTCAGGAAATTCTTCTTTCATAGGAGCGGTTTTGATTCGCTCGTACTTTTTATTCACGCTTAGCGTTTCGTGATGATATATCATCATAACGATTTCAACAGACGATCTTGCCTACTTGTAAACAATAATGTCTTGATGCATAACGTTAAGGGAACTTAATGCGAACTGCAAACGACAAAGTGGAATCTAATTTTCTTCCTTTGAACCTAAAATTGACCTTGTAAAGCATTTGGAAAACGTCACCTGTTACAGGAAACTGCAAATAATTTCACATAATTTAGCAAGTTTTCAAGTTTTGTTGCTGGTAAACTTTTACAACAATGACTTAATTGAACTTGATCTTTCCCGATTTTGTGCGCTTTCTAAGGAGATACCCGGCTGGTCAAAAAATTTTTCTTTTTTCTTCGCAATGCAAAAAAGTCATTTCACAACTGAACTGACGCCATACGCTTCCGGATAAAACCAAGTAATGTCACCACGATCGGAATCCCTCCTTTGTTATAAATCTAACACAGCATTCTAAGTGAAAAAAAAAGGGTAAAATAAAAGACTGCTTCATGCATACTGATGAGCTTCTTCTGCGCCCGTTTTTTTAGTGTGTTTTCGAAAGTTGCACGCCTGTGCGCGCGTTTTTAAAGCCCTTTTTGTGTGCATTTTGGGCCAAGTACCCTTGATTGTGCTTTCATGTACTGTATTTTTCTAGGGGCTTATTCTACATTATTCACTTCACCATCAACAAATAATTGTTTCAGTATAATTGTTCAGGTGCTTTCGAATTCTGTTGTAAATTTGTTTTGTTGTTGACAGCACTCTGTTGCAATTGTTTCGTCCGTTGGTTTGGCGATGATCAGCCAATCTTACTTCGTTCAATCAGCAAAAGCTTCATATCGTTATTTTGAAAAGTGTCACGCGAAACTTAATAGCACCTTTTTACCTACGTAATTTTATTTTCTTCTATCGCGTTTATGACTTCATCGGCAAAATTGAAACAACGCAAGACAGCCATTTTGAAATTTAGCGCCCCTGCAATAATCACCTTGTGCGAAATGATTATGATGAGATACGATGCAGTCCTCAACCAATCAGAGTATGCAAATCTGCACGATCACCGATAACACCAATAAATATATTGAAAACTCACAACATTTTGGACAAAACATTGGTATCCTTTAGATCCTAAATATGGGAGCTACTCAGTAGGTGACCATTTCACTCCTTCTAGATCACTATCTTTTTTAGTGCAGCTTTTTTACATATTCATTTATGTAGTTATTAAACCACTGTAATCAAATCTTAAGTTGTTTGTAACTTTCTTTTTAAACTGCAAAGCTATGATCTGAGACGGCATCTGCTGTAAACATTGCCATAAATAAATTAAGTGATTGGACAGTTTTCACCCAAATGTTGCGTTATTCATCTTTAGTAATAAAGTAAATGGTTGTTTACTACGCTCACTTGGACGACAGAGCGAACGACTTGCGAACAACTACATCAGTTACGTAAGTATTGTCAGACGAATACGACAACAACTCTTGTTCAACCACCTCTGCAAAGATCTTGGTCTCGTTCCGGCCGGACTTCGACTTAGGTCCCCGTTGAACACACAAGAGGCCATCCAGATCGTCAAATCCACCCGCCGACGACTGGTCAAAGCGCGGATTAACGACTGTCAGAGAAGACTCTACCACTACAATAACAAATTACAACAACTACTTGACAAACTGAAACAGCATTTACCGACTATCTTACTCGACACAGTCACAGCTATTGCCGACAGACGAGCCGACAAAACGAGTTACCAAGCTCGTGACAAACATCAACAAAAACTGACGCGACTTCAACATAACAAAGACAAAGAACCGACGACAACTGGGTCAGGAACATCTCTTCCTGTCCCTTAGACAAGACTGAGACTCAAGTACTATCTTACGGACTGAAACACTCAGTGACGCCTAAACGTATACCGACTGAGTCTATTGTATCTAGTGTTGAGGCGGCTCTTTCTCGTCAACGAGACTTATCAGAACCTGCCAAGGACAACATCAGAAGTAGAATTGCTTCCACGATACAATCAGCCTCTATAACTGACAGCAACTTAACCAAAGACGAACAACAAGCACTGAAACGACTGAAAAACGACAAGAACATTGTTATACTACCAGCCGACAAAGGACGTGTTACTGTTGTTATGGACAAGACTGACTACTGCGACAAAATGGACGCACTTGTTAACGACAAACAAACTTACGAATTACTTAAACGTGACCCGACGCCAGCACTACAACGCAAACTCAACAACAAACTACTTACGCTCAAAAAGACCGAAGCCTTTGACACTCAACGCTACTACCGACTGAGGTGCTCTGTACCACAACCACCTAAACTTTACGGATTACCGAAACTACACAAACCTGGGATACCTATGCGACCTACAGTCTCATTCTGTGGGTTCCCGACGTACCAACTGTCGAAATACCTTACGACGATACTGCAACCACTGACTGACAAATCGAGACGTAAACTACAATCAACTGAGAGCTTTATTGACGCTATGAAAGACGTACAGATACCTGACGACTACAAACTTGTTCAATTGGCTCTACAGTGTACTGAAACCGCCATCCAACAGTCTACTGATGCACTACCATTACCGACAGAAGACATTATGGACCTACTTAACCTCTGCCTTGCATCGACTTACTTTCAGTACAACGGGAAACGCTACAAGCAGTTGCACGGAACAGCTATGGGGTCGCCGGTCTCCGTTGTTGTCGCAGAAATTGTGATGCAAAACATCGAGGAACGCGCCCTTGCCGACAAACCAAACCGCTTTGGTTACGCTACGTTGACGACACATTTACCGCCGTACGCAAAGACGAAATTGACGCTTTTCACAATCACCTTAACGAACAAAACACCGACATTCAGTTTACCAGGGAGATCGAAGAAGACGGCAAGCTTCCTTTTCTCGACTGTTTGGTGGGCCGAAACAACAACGAACTACGAAAAACAATATACAGAAAACCGACGCATACCGACAGACTGCTTGACGAATCATCCTACAACCCGATTTCCCACAAAGCTACGACTGTCAAGACATTGGCAAGACGAGCGCAACTTGTTTGCAACACACCGGACAGTTTATCTGACGAAAACAAGTACCTTGACCGTGTTTTTGACAAAAACAACTAACACTGGCATTAGACGAAACACTCACAGGGCGACCGACACTACAGAAACTAACAGGGACTCCACATCTGTCACGACTATAGCTGCTATACCCTACATCAAAGGCACTTCTGAGGCTATTGCGCGGATCCTACAACCTTACAACATTCGCGTAGCTCACAGGCCTATTACTACTTTACGACATCTGCTGACCAACGTTAAAGACAAAGACGAACCCAACAACAGACAGGGAGCGATTTATAATATCGAACATACACACGCTTAATCGCATAGTAGTTTTAATTTTGATACCTTTTAATCCTGATACAACAATCAATTGGAATCTTTGGCATCCCCCCCTTTTTTTCCTGGCGGCTTCCCAGGTATTTGAACTTTTAAAGATTGCTTTGTTGAAATTCCCGCCCCAAGGCAAAAATTGCGTTCAAATGCCCCCACCAATTTTTTAAAAAGGTAAAATCAGGAAACATGTCTTTCTGCACATTGTCAAAGCTTTAACGCCTAGTCCTTCTACACCTTTTTTTCTGAGCCATTTTTGCTTGTGGAAGTGAAATTTTACCTTTAACTATTCTACAGTTAAAGAAACATCCATTTTTAGAAAAACAGAGGTTATTATTCTATAAGTATAAAGGTCATTGATCATTTAATTCACAAATCTTTACTTACAATGGCACTTTTAAGAACAAGTCTCTTTAAGAATCAAACATCTTGGGAAATAAAAATTTTCAACCCCCCTTCAAATTTTGCATGCAGTTAGGCACTCAGGGGGGATGCACAAAAATGCCCTTTTAAAGGTTGCACCACTCTTGTTGCCATGGCAACAACGACTGCTTGTTCGAGGCCTGGGGCCTCATCTTCATACAAAAACGTCGCAAAAAAAGAGTGAAATTTTCATTTATCTATCTCAAGCTAAATAAAACATTACAAATTGGTACTTCTACCATGCATAGTGACATCATTCGTCTTCACTTTAATATATTTAATTTTCCCTGGGAGTGGATGTGAACACACCAATAGATTATTCATCTCGGTACAGTTTCGGTCATTTTTGTTGTCGAGTGAAACAGGGAAAACGTTTATCTGAATTTCTCCACCGATTCTGGAACTGAAAATACCCACCTAGCTGACTATAATATTCTAGTTTGTAAATATGTAAAAATCTCTGCGGGCCTACCTCTACTTTCCGTAGGGGAAATTCGCGAACGAAGCTCAAAAAATCAGATATTGCATAATTTGGCGATGTTTACATCTAATGTTCTCAACAACAAACGTTTCAAACAAATGAAACGTGCAAGGCTTTGAAAGAATATTATCTTATGAACAATATCCCGAAGAGAAATCTCGCCACTGGTCGTCATCTTTAAGAAAAAAATTGAACAACCAAGCGCCACCAAAAATAGTTCCTTTGTAATTTTGTAAGCACTATCTATAGCATTTTAGTGTCAAATAAATCTCAAGGCTCAAAGCCAATATGACGTTCGAGCACATGAAAGACTGCCTGAAAAAAAGCCAAATTTTTGGAAATTAATTGTGATGAAATCCCTGTTCCATTTGCTGTACTACAGAGATATTAAGTGATTCAAAATCTCCACTTTGTTATGATTTTCGCGCGAGTCGTACAAATTGCTATTGCGGCGACTGGGTTTTATATGTGGTACTGCCGCTGACAAGTTGAGATTTCTGCTCTCAGATTCTCAGTGTTTACAAGCGTTCAATCGAGGTTTTCTTCTTTTTTTTTTCGGTTGCTGTTACTTAGAATGCGCGGAAATCTGCTGATATATCGAAAAATGAACATTTGTCGTCTTCTTTGGAGCGACCAATGGAAACATCACGGAGACGCCATCGTGACAACGTACATGTTTATGACAAAGGACTGGTGTGGGGATAGTTTCGTGTAGATCAGCCGAATTCAACATGTTTTAAATGACATGCAAGTATAACAGTGTATCTTCAGAGGACTTCGGATCGCTCAAATTCCCATGAAAGAAGGTGCAGCACTCGGAATCTGGATGATATGCACCCGATTTGAGGTATATGTTTGTAGTTACGTCGAGTAGTCCTCCATGAGGGTTGATCAATTTTTTTAAAAGATGATGACCGGAGGCAGGATTTCTCTTCGAGATATTGTTCATAAGATAACATTCTTTCAAAGCCTTCCACGTTTCATTTTTCTGAAAGGTTTGTTGTTGAGAACATTGGATGTAAACATCGCCAAATTATGCAATATCTGATTTTTGAGCTTCGTTCGTGAATTGCCCCTATGGAGAGTAGAGGTAGGCCCGCAGAGATTTTTAAATATTTAAAAACTACAATATTAAAGTCAGCTACGTGGGTATTTTCAGTTCCAGAGTCGGTGCACTTTGGAGAAACTCAGATAAACGTTTTCCCTGTTTTACTCGACAACAAAAATGACCGAAACTGTACCGAGATGAATAATTTATTGGTGTGTTCACATTCACTCCCAGAAAAAATTGAATGTATCAATGGGAAGAAGTGCCAATTTGTAATGTTGCATTTAGCTTGAGATAGAGAAATAAACATTTCACTCTTTTGAAATTAGGAGATCCTCGCAGCTAAGAACACTACTAAAACGAGTAGTTGTAAATAGGACCTGAAAAAAATTCAGGCCCGTACGGAATTTGAACCCATGACCTCTGCGATACCGGTGCAACGCTCTACCAATTGAGCTAACAAGCCAACTTGGAGCTGGTCAATGAATTGGGTCCAAATAAACATCCAAGTGAATGATGATTTTAGATATATGAAAATTCATATATTTGCACTGCGGTGGAGAGATGAAATTAGGAGATCCTCGCAGCTAAGAACACAACTAATTTCATCTCTCTTTTCAGGTCCTATTTACAACTACTCGTTTCAGTAGTGTTCTTAGCTTCGTCGGCACCTTTTGTTGCTTCACACAGGAAAAACACACGATAAGAAATGTAATGATCGATTTCGTCCCCAATCTCACGCCATAACAGAAAAAAAGCTTTGGAACACCTGTAAACCCGAGCGCTTCGGAGTAAATGATATTTTTAATGAATCTTCATATTGTTTTCAAGTTCAAGGATTGTAAATTACAATTTTATGAAAAACGAAGGTTGTTCTCTTGTTTCGGTGTGAATCCTTGGACGCCTGCCAGTCGCTGGCGCCGCTTGTTGAAGCTAAAACGAAAAAAAAAAAAAAAACTCTTTTAAGATTATCATTGGCTTCTTTTCCACCCCACCACTATTCTAAGCAACAAAGGTTCGCCATTGCGTTTGTTTATTACTCGCCAAAAACTATCAAATGCACTCAAAAGCCTAAAAACGAAAAAAAATTTACAGGAATCGACCAATGGAGCGAGCGAGCGAGTACCATTCTCCACATCATATCAACAACTCGCTCTTGCGCATGCGCGCAATTCACGAGTTAAAAAGATAACTTCGATCCCCACCAGAGCCTGAATCAATGTCTCACCGGCCCGAATGGACTCTTATTTTATCCTTGAAATCTCTAGTGTCTCAGTGAGGCAGATAATCCAGGCCAATGATTATGGAGGGATACAATGCAATCCTCAACCAATCAGAGTGAACGCATCTCTATACTCACCGGCACAATTACACCAAATAAATATATTGAAAACTCACAACATTTTGGATAAAACAGTGGTATCCTTTGGATCCTCAATCTGGGATCCTCAATCTTGGATCCTCAATCATTAGATGACCATTTCAAGCACTCTATATTTGGAAGCTTTGACATCAAAACCCCCCCCCCCCTTTTTTTTTCCTGGCAGCTTCCAGGTATTCGAACTTTCAAAGATTGGTTTGTTAAAAAGGTAAAGTCAGCAAACATGTCTTTCTGCACATTGTCAAAGCTTTTATACCTAGACCTTCTACAGCTTTTTTTGAGCCATTTTTGCTTGTGGAAGTGAACTTTTACCTTAAACTATTCCACAGTTAAATATATATCCGTTTTTAGAAAACAGAGGACATTATCATATAAGTATAAATGTCATTGATCATTTAATGCACAAATCTTTACTTGCAATGGCACTTTTAATGCAGTCAATACAATTAACAAACTAATGCCTATTACCTTAACGGCTAATGCCTTATTACCTCAATGCTTATTATAAAAGGTAGGATATACATTGGACTATTGCAAAAAGCCTATTGTGAGTGTCGATTTTTCTTTCAAGTCTATACTCTGAATTTCAAAAACGCTGAGCCCTAAAAGCGTAAGCCAATGGCTTTATAGTTAAACTTGTAAATGATACACACAATTAGTTGTGCATAGAATATACAAGCCGTTCACACTTTGTTAAAAGAAAAGAATTGTCATCATCAAAGATTTCCACGAATCGTGAAAAAATAAAGCATTGATCATGTAACTCTGTGCACATTTCCAAATTTTAAAAAGGTTGTGAGCAGCGTGCTCTTTAACAGCATTACCAGTTTCACGACCATGGTACCGGATGTGAAGGTCAGCAGCACACCCTTCACCATCCATGTCACAGTTCTCTGGCTCTGGTTCCCTTAAGTTGACGCCGAGGTTGAGTAAAATGCAGCAGGCTACAATCAAGGTGCTTACCCTGTCAGGAGTCATCCTCACTTCTTAGTGTAGCACATGGAATCTCTTCTTCAACGATCCAAAAGTTCGCCCTATGGACATCGTGTGAACTTGTATGCTCTGTTAAAATGCTCCTCCTGAGGTGTTTTGGGGTTGAGGTACATGGTCATGAGGAATGGAGAGCATGTATAGCCACCATTCCCGTGTAGCGCACCATCATTGAGACCAGTCCCTTCAAGGTTACCTCCTACGGCTGAAGCCCGGAAAATGTGGCTATCATGAGTTGAACCAGGCCATCTAGCCACAATATCTGCCAACATTCCTGCAAAATTCAATTGTATTCAATACACTACAACTGGTTTTAATATTTTTGTTTTATGTTGTGTACACAATATTTTGATACAGCTTAGGTGTATAGTATTTCTGCACGAGTCTTCCCTCCCATAAAATTTCCATAATGTGAGCATACACATAGGCCCAAAATTTGGAGTAGTAATCGCGAGATCAAGTCAATCATTTTGTCAAAATAATGTACTCGGAACGGGATTGCTGCTAACAATGAACTACGGTTCATAACTAACGACAATTAACTACCCTAACTCTAGACAATTCATGCCTTTCTTAATATGGTAAACTTCAAGACATTCCTTGGCCTGTATCTTTGGGCGACGAAAAATCACACGTCGTTAAACAATGCTACTTAGCAAGAGAATG